ACAGCAACCTCCAACTCCTGGGCTCAAGTGAGTCTCCTGCCTCCGCCTCCCAAGTAGCTGGGACTACAGGCGCCCACCACAACGCCCGGCTATTTTTTGGTTGCAGCCATCATTGTTGTTTTGGCGGGTCCGGGCTGGGGATTCGAACCCGCCACCTTAGGTGTACGTGGCTGGCGCCTTAGCCGGTTGAGCTATAGGCGCCGAGCCTATAGACTTTATTTTAAATGACTCTCATCCCTAAATATTTATAATCCCTTGACATTCTTTTAGATCTCAAGGTTCTTTATTCTCACTTTAGAAACAGTATAAAGTATAACCATCTATGACCTCTCTAAATTAGTTACACACTGTGGGTATAATTACATGCACTGCTCATTTTCAAAATCCTGCCTTCTACTTAGATTCCACTGAGCAAATTAGTACTCTTCAGTTTACAAATTCTCTGCTTAAATGACAGAAAAACAATAAAAATATTAAAATTAGATTATAGCACTTAATTTTAGGAAAAGAAATTAAACTGAGGACATACAACTTTCTCATATAATACTACCCTACTACAAGAGAGAAACTTTACCCTTTTGTAACAGGGTAAGATATAGGAAAGTAAATTGCTCAAGAAGCTGAATAAGTCTTTTTAAAGTGCTATAACATCCCTTACATTATTTGAAAATTTCATTAACAAATTTAAAGCCCGATTTAAAAGTTTTTCCTTTTTTAAAAAAAGAGCAGTTGTCAAGCTGGATTTTGTATGAGGTAGTCAAAATATCTTCACACAAATTTTACTTCCAAATTCACTTTTATCATTTAATAAACTTCATATAATAAGAAGGGGCACTTTAGGAGTTTCTTGAAAATATTCTAGCTACTCAGAAAGCCAGAACCCTGAAAAATAGATGAGAATAATTATCTTTCTTCTTCAACTGTGCCACAAAGCATAAATAACTGTGAAATTACAAGATATACCCCTGAACAATAAAGAATCATGAATTAGCCTTTGTTATAAACACTAGGCTACTGCCTGAAAAAATTTAGAGGTAGCGGGGAAATTAAGTAAAATGATATGAAAGGCTTAATTCCCATTCCCTTATTTTCTATAAAGGGCACAAGATATCAAAATCCTTGTTTTAGTTGAAGTTGAATGAAGTAAACAAGTCATTATTTCTATGAAGATGACATGCAAAGCCATAGCTCTAGAGTGCCAACCTCACTCCTAGCTCCAAATGACATTTCCACTTAAAATGTTTATTAACATGATACACATGTTCCAAGAAAATTGTTCTGTTTGAGACAGAGTCTCACTTTGTAGCCCCCAGTACAGTGCTGTGGTGTCACAGCTAATAGCAAAAAACTCTTGGGCTCAAACAAAACTCTTTCTTGCCTCAGCCTCCCAAGTAGCTGGGACTACAAGCACCCGATACAACACTCGGCTATTTTTTTTTTTTTTTTTGAGACAGAGCCTCAAGCTATCCCCCTGGGTAGAGTGCCGTGGCATTACAGCTCACAGCAACCTCCAACTCCTGGGCTCAAGCGAGTCTCCTGCCTCTACCTCCCAAGTAGCCGGGACCACAGGCACCAGCCACAACGCCTGGCCATTTTTTGGTTGCAGCCGTCATTGTTGTTTGGTGGGCCCGGGATGGGGATTCGAACCCGCCACCTTAGGTGTACCTGGCTGGCCCCTTAGCCAGTTGAGCTATAGGCGCCGAGCCAACACTCGGCTATTTTTAAAGATGGGGTCTCACTCTTGCTCAGGCTGGCAAGAAAGCTTGTTTTAATGAACCTATATAATGGCACCATTATTCTCTAGAACCCCTTTTAAATTGTTTCATTCATTCTTTTTAGTTTTCCTATGCCTGCAAGTCTTAGCTTCATTCTTTTTTTTAACTTTTTAAGTTTTTACTTACTTTCTTTTTTTTAATTAACAGATAAAATTGTATGTATCACATACAACATGTTTAACTTTTTAAACTTTAGGTTGATGTGAGGGTACAACAACCAAGTTCCTTCATTCTTTATACCCTGCTGCTATCCTGTTCAGACCAGATTTTTCCATAATTTCCGTAAGTGCTTCCTGCTGCCCTGCCTTGGTCTTTTGCTAACATTGCTTTTATCACGTCCCTTCCACAATTAAGAATTCATAGATAGCTCCTTTCAGTTTACTGGATTAAATTTAACTCTCTAAATTCAGCATTGAAACCTCTCCATTATCTGACTGCAAATTTAGTCAAAGTTCATCTTTCACTATTCCCCCATAACCTCATTGTTATACCCACACAATCAATATTCATCCATTCCCCTAATAAGATCTAGTGAAAGGTTTACATCTTAGGAAAAAACTTCCTGTTCTTCTAGCCCACAAAACTGCTCAGCTTCATTTTTTGAATTCCTTATTAATTCCACCATACAGAACTTGATTATATACTTACTTTTACTCATATTTGAAGGGTCAGTCATCTCAGGTTAAACTCCAAGTTCCCTCTTCCTCAAGAACACTTACTAAAAAGGCAGCCAATGTTCTATCACTGAGTTTCACCTTGGGTTACTTATAACAGAATTTAGACAATTATATTTCCTTTCCTCAAGTTCTTTTTAGTTTATAATGGAAAATTAAGCTTCGATTACTGCTTTTTGTAAACTCCATTAATGGTCCTGAGAGACTATAGTACAGTGTACTTACTTTACTTGTAACTCCACAAACACTTCTCATAACCCCAACATTTGAACCTAGGTTTTCCCTAATTTTAGTCAAAAAAAATTTTTTGAAGGCTAGTTAACTATTAAACACATCAACATCATCATTTGAAAGTCCTTTCTTGAGCCTAAGTGGCCATTAGATGTCTTAGACATAAAAGTAAGGACAAAATTGTATTATACATATGAAATTTACCTTCTGGCTATGATCAGCAGGTAAGAACAAAAAAGGGACACCCCCAGAAAAGCTTCTAGCATGCTTCTAATTTTTTCTTTAACCAATTGCAAATGAAGACAGTTACTTCAACCTAAAAAATTAAACCTCAAAACTAAAAAGACATAATACATAAGACTGGAAGAATTAATTATTTAATCAACTGAGTAGACTTACACTTGGGTACACTTGGGTACCACTTGTGAAAAAATATTTGGTATGACCGCAAAAGACAGCCCTTTATTTCTAGTAAATAAAATACCAACGCCTACATACATTTCAGATTAAAAGTGGGTACGAATCTCATGTGTTACTTTCTCAGGTTGGTAAGGTGATGATATCTAGAACTCCTTTCCTTGATTTGATGACAAATTACTAAAGGTAACAAGGTCCCAGCAGTAGACTGCTCTTCACCACCTCACAAACTAAACCAGAATAAATATCAACAAAAGAAAAATTTCTGTATTAAAGTTAATTGAAGGAAAGATGAATGTACAGTAAAATTTATTCCTATAACTGCCTATCATTTTCAAACAGTAGTTTATACAACTATCACCAAATACCTTCATGGCATGATTTTATAAAGTTCTACTGGGAAAATCAATATACCATCTTAAAAAATGGGCAGGTTCGACTATTCATATCTATGCCCCAAATTTGAGCCAAAATATCCAAAGAAGTTAGAGGGGGCTTTTTTGTTTCTAACCTATTGCTCTATATCTCTTTCCTCAGGAAGAACTAAAACCTAAAATGACCTTCTAATTTGACTGCCTGGTTCTAGGTGTTTATATAATGAACTTCCAAAACGGACAAAAATCATTCCCTCCAGCACATCCTAACAATTGTTTTTAGTGTTTCCCCTAGTGACTAGAATAAATATCAAACAGCAGCCGGAACGTGTTACCCGGGGCTTTTGTTTTCTTTTCAGGGTTTCACACAAACTCACTTCCACTCATTCCCACTACCAGGGTAACTTTGGAAATATAACTCAAACCTTGACAAATGTTCCATCCAGTACATTTAAGCTGGGGGATAACGTTATTCTTTGTGATGTTTATATTTATCGGATCCCAAAGAATGAAAACCTCCTTCTGACCCCTTGTTACTGAAGGATGGAAGAGGGCCTGTTAATTTTCAGGTACCCCTTTGAGTTACAGAATAGTATAAGCTGACTTTCAAATACTGAGCCATGAAATATGTTCAGTTATATAAGAAAGATTAAAGAAACATAGAAGATGCCTTTTTTTTTTTTTTTTAACCATAAAGACCTGTAAAGGACTGGTCAGTTTTTAGATGAAAGGTCATAGGAAAGAAAAGCATTAGAGGTTGAGATATGAAGAGAAAAAACCCAACACGAAGGAATTAGAAAAATAAAGCGTTATAGCATTTCCACATTCATTCTGAAGTGAAAGTAGAAGGGACATTAAGGGAAAAGGGCTCCTTGCGTAGTTTTCCCCTCACAGCTCTCGTCTTAAGAACGCTTAAGGGTCGGTGCGGTCGTTGACTAACCACTTCATTAGGCTCGTCCCACCTTCAACCTCAAGGCTTTCGCCTTTATAGACGCAACGCCGCCGGTTCCAACAGAGACGCGGCCGCTCACTGCAATAGAGAGCCAAGGAGACACAGGCCCCAGCTAGTCCCACGCCAGCTTCTCCCGCCCGGAAAACAGCCCCGCACACTTTCGACCCAAAGACCCTCTACGGTGCGCGGGGTCGCCAGAAATGCCACCGCAGGAAGCACCTACCACTATCCGGCCGGAGGGGAACTCCCTGCCGCCGCCGCCTCCCGCCCCATCGCGACCGGGACCCACACCTCGGAGCAGAGACACCGAAGGGGTGGGGGAAGGGACTAGGACTCAGGAGTCCAGGTTAGCCGTCAGCCTCCAGACAGAGAGGGAGGGATGTTATCCGTAGTTTGGGGGCAAGGAAAAAAACCCAGAAGCCATCTTGGGATGTGAGGAAGCAATCGCGATGGCTCCAGAGCTTGCTCCCCGCGGGCCCTCGCAGGACTCCCCGCCACCCCGCCCGACAGCGCTTGTCCCGGTGAAACCCCGAGCATCGGGCCGCCGCCTAGACGGCTCCCGCGGCTTTGTACTCACTCTGCCCTCGAAGTTGTTCTCCTCTACATCACTCATGTCGGCCAGGCGCTCCCCCAGAACTAAATAAGAGACGAGTCTCGGCTCGAGGGCCGAGGGCCTAATCAACCCGCTGACTGGACCGTGGGGAGGAGGAAAGAGTCGGCAACAACGGCCGCTCCACTTCACTCCCACTCGGTCGCAGGCTCCGGCAAAATGGCGCCGGCGCCGCCAGAAACCTTCTGGCCTCCTCAGTGCGCGACGTAAAGGGGGCGGTCGTCTCTGTGATGTCACGAGGCCACGCCTCCCCGGGGGGCTTTGTGGCGGCTCCGCGTAGAGCGCGCGAGTGGCTTGTGTTCTACCCCGACGCCGTGGAAGCACCGCCCTAGCGTTGACCTCCAAACTTCGGGCTGGTGTCTAAAGCGTAAACCCCTTTGAAGATTTTCAGTCACCAGATGAGCTTTTATTGACATTAGCCTTTCTAAGTATTGTTTAACTAGGTTCTGACATAAGAATAGAAAAAACTGGGGTACAGGTGAATCTTTCCAAGAGTAGAATGTGAACGTTTTAAAGCAATAACTGAGAAAATGACATGAAGGCTGTGTTGACCAGTTTGATGGAAGTATTTCAGATTGCATGTGAAAACCCCACACTGTGCCCCAGAAGTGCATTAATGTACATAGTTACCATTCAATAAAAAAAAAGGAATAGAAAAAACTGGAATCGTACATGTAATAAGCTTTTGTTTTTTTCCCGCAGACTAGATTATATTTCAACACTTGCCCTTTGAAATGAAGAAGCAATACATGCACAGATAAGATTATGATGAAAAAACCAAGTCCCTCCCACGTCCCTCTCTGCTTCCGACCTCCCTCTCCCAATTTTTTCATCATCCTCATGATGTCATCTCTACCTTTATCATGATGTCACCTACACCATCCATGTAATAATGTTTTATTGTATTTTCTTATTTAATGGATCTTTAAGGCAGATCTTGCGAGAAATGTGATCTTTCCTTTCCCCAAGTTCAGCCTCTCACTCTTGGCATGTGAGGAGTCTGGGTTAGCAGTCAACCTCTAACTATTTGAGGTTAGCTCCATTTGTTCACAACTGTGTCACTAGGAATTTAGAAGAGCATCCTGAATAATCAAAGATAGTAGAAATAGGAGGCATTTTTAGTGTGCACCTTTTGTATGCATAAGAGTAAATCAAAGTGGAGAAGTTACACCCATAGTGATGGAAACAGCATAGAAATAATCTAATCTGGAGGGTGTGATGGCTCACATCTATAATCCTAGCATTCTGGGAGGCCAAAGTGGGTGGATCTCCTGAGCTAAGGAGTTCAAGAACAGCCTGAGCAAGAGTGAGACTCTATCTCTACTAAAAATAGAAAAATTAACTGGGTGTTGTAATGTGTGCCTTTGGAGACTGAGGCAAGAGAATTGCTTGAGCCCAAGATTTTGAGGTTTCTGTAACTATGATGATGCCACAGCACTCTACCCAGGGTGACTGAGTGAGAGTCTCTCTCAAAAAGAAAAAAGAGAGTGAGAGAGAAAGAGAGAGAGAGAAATAATCTAATTACTTGGTTTTACCAAGGCAGAAATCCCAAATGCCTCATCCAAAATTATATAGCAGTAATAATGCCATTGAGTACTTATGACATGTCAGACACTGGACTAAGTATTCTCCATAGTTTATCCCATATATTACTCACACAAACTAAAGAATTGTTGATTTTATTGCCTCTAGTTTTTCCTCTTTATTTAATTTTTTTTCTTTCTTTTAGAGAGAGAGTCTCACTTTGTTGCCCTAAGTAGAGTACCCTGGCGTCTTAGCACACAGCAACCTCAAACTTTTGGGCTCAAGTGGTTCTCTTGCCTCAGCCTCTTTAGTAGCTAAGACTACAGGCACTTGTCACAATGCCCAGCTATTTTTTTTTATTCTTTTATTTTAATTTTTTAGAGACAGAGTCTCAAGCTGTCTCCCTGGCAGAGTGCTGTGGTGTCATAGCTCACGATAATCTCCAACTCTTGGGCTCAAGCTATCCTCTTGCCTCAGTTTTCCTATTTTTAGTAGAGCTAGGGGTCTTGAGTTTGCTCAGGCTGGTCTTGAACTAGTGAGCTTAAGCAATTCACCCACCTCAGCATCCCAGAGTGCTGGGATTACAGGTATGAGTCACTGTGGCTGCCAACCAGCTATTTTCTAGAGATGGAGTCTTGCTCTTTCTCAGGCTGGTCTCAAACTCATGAGCTCAAGCAATCCACTCAACTCGGCCTCCCAGAGTGCTGGGATTATAGGTATGAGCCAATGCACCGTGTCTTATTTATTTAATTTTTAGAGATGGGGTCTCACTGTATTCCAGGCTAGCCTAGAACTCCTGAGCTCAAGCAATTGTCACGCCCAGGAGTTCCACAAAGACCACACTGCCAAACAAGCTGAATTTATAGCAGAGTCCCTTTATTGAAGAACCAGCCGGCAACTGCCTCAGTGTCCCAACATGGGGTTTCTGAGAGCAGCCCCGTGATTAAGGGGTCAGGTTTTTAAGGCTTAGTCTGCATCCTGGTTGGCATGCAGGCTGTCCAGGTACATTTGGGTGGGGGTAGCAAGCATTGTACAAAAGTAGAATTTTGCAGTTAGTTAGCCATACGTAATACATCTTTGTTTTAATATTTTCCTATATATCTTAGTTCCAGTACTTTTCCTCCATACATCTTTGTCTCAGTATTCTCTCCATCTAGTATTGTCTAAAGATAAGTCTGGGACAGTCAGTTCATTTCCCAGGCCCAGGAGTTAGTCAAGCAAGAAGTTAGTGAGTGAGTACTTTCCCATCTATCTTGGGAGTGAACCAGACTTACTCCATTTTGTTGAGGGCTTGCAGTCCTCAGGAATTTTCAGGAGTTAACTGGTATTTTTCCATTATAGCCTAGGCCTACCTAATTCAATCTTCCTGCCTCTGCCTTTCAAGTAGCTGGGCCTAAGGGTATATGCACCACTCTGCACAGCTCAATGCCTCCATTTTATAGATTTAAAAAGTTGAGACTAGGCTGGGCGCCCATGCTTAGTGGTTAGGGTGGTGGCCACATGCACCAGTGCTGGTGGGTTTGAATCTGGCCCCGGGCTGGCAAAACAAACAAACAAAATTAGCCAGGCACTGTGACATGCACCTATAGTCCCAGCTACTTGGGAGGCTGAGGGAAGAGAATTCCTTAAGCCCAAGAGTTTGAAGTTGCTGTGAGCTGTGATGCTGTGGTATTCTACCAACAGTGACAAAAGTAAAACTCTGTCTCAAAAAAAAAAAAAAAGTTGAGAGTAGTAAACTAAATCCCCCCAGGTGAGTCAGACACGGAGCACAAGACAGAATTGGGATTTTAACTTGAATATATTAACACTCTTAAACTATACTGACACTCCTTCAGTGCCTCAAGGTAAACCACTGACAATACAGTTAAAGAGCTCAAGTGAGCAGAGCCAAGTTTAATATTCAGTTACTCAAAATTTGTTTATTTTAACCAAGAACTAAAGTGTTGATATTGAACAAACTCTTCCATAAAAGTAAAGCAAACACACAGATTGGTTTATATTCATGATTTCATAATGCAGAAGGCTAGTTTAAAAAAGACATTGTCAGGCTCAGTGGGTGGCCCACACCTGTGATTCTCACACCCTGGGATGCCAAGGCGTGGTGGTGGTGGTGGTGGTATTTCCTTGAGCTCAGGAGTTTGAGATCAGCCTGAGCAAGAGCCAGACCCCATCGCTATTAAAAATAGAAAATTTAAGTTGGGTGAGGTGGCTCACACCTGTAATCCTAGGACTCTAGGAGGCCGAGGCAGGTGTATTGCCTGAGCTCACAAGTTAGAGAACAGACTGAGCAAAAGTGAGACCCCCATCTCTAAAAATAGCTGAGCATTGTAGCAGACACCGGTAATCCCAGTTACGTGGGAGACTGAGACAAGAGGATTGCTTGAGCCCAACCAAGAGTTTGAGGTTGCTGTGAGCTATGATGCCATGGCATTCTACCAAGGTCAACAGAGTGAGACTCTGCCTCCAAAAAAAAAGAAAGAAAGTTTAGCCAAGTGTTGTGGTGGGTACCTATAGTCTCAGCTATTCTGGAGGCTAAGGCAGGAAGATCATTTAAGCCCAGGAGTTAGAGGCTGCTGTGAGCAAAAAATAGCCGGGTGTTGTGGCAGGCGCCTGTGGTCCCAGCTACTTGGGAGGCTGAGGCAGAAGACTTGCTTGGGCCCAGGAGTTGGAAGTTGCTGTGAGCTTTGATGCCACAGCACTCTACCCAGGGGGACAGGTTGAGGCTCTGTCTCAAAAAAAAAAAAAAAGTAAAATCAGAGAATTTATACCAAAGATTAGTTCTGTGAACATAGATTTTTTTTTATTTTAAACTCAAATTTATTTACCTAACAGTTATATAGCGTTTACAATATACTAGGTATTTTTCTAAAGCTTAGCACTTTACAGACAATTAATTCATTTAATCTTCACACCAACCCTATGAGGCATGTACATTATTTCCTTTTTGTCAGTTGGGAAATCTGAGACACAGAAACATTAGTTGTTTGTTTGTTTGTTTGTGACAGAAAAGCCTGGGTAGAGGGCGCTATGGCATCACAACTCACAGCAACCTCAAACTCTGGGGCTTAAGTGATTCTCTTGCCTCAGCCTCCCAAATAGCTGGGACTACAGGTGCCCGCCACAATGCTCAGCTATTTTTTGGTTGTAGTTGTCATTATTGTTTGGCAGGCCCAGGCTGGATTTGAACCTGCCAGCTCTGGTGTACATGGCTGGCACCCTAGCCGCTGAGCACAGATGCAAGCCTGTTATTGTTAATCTTTCAGTTTCACATTAGTATTGAGTACAGGTGATGCTTGTTTCTCCAGTACTTAAGAGAATGTCCTCCAAATCCATCCAGGTTGTTGCCAAGGATGCAAAATTTTCATTTTTTTTTTTAGGAATGAATAGTATTCCATGGTATACATATACCACAATTTATTAATCCATTCATGTGTTGATGGGGACTTGGGTTGTTGCCCTATCTTTTTTTTTTATTTCCTCACTTTTCTTTTTATATTTCTTTGCTTTTTGTTATTGTTGTTGTTGAGACAGAGTCCCACCCTATGCCCTGAGCAGAGTGCAGTGGCGTCATAGCTCACTGCAACCTCAGACTCGGGCTGTGGGCATCCCGCTGCCTCAGCCTCCAAAAGCTGCTGGGATTACAGGTGTTCACCGTGGTGCCTGGATGGGTTCTTCCATTTTT